GTGCCGAGACCCGGCGGGAAGGACAAGAAAGCTTAAGCCTCAGCATCGAGACGAAGATAACGTAATGGCCCCGTCGGGAAAGCTTATTGGGTTCCAGAGATCAGTGCAGCCGCCGGCTGGTGGTGTGGCGAGGTGCCTTTGATGGCCTTGCTACGGAGGATGTTAATCTACCGTGATAACTCGCCGTTTGAGCATCCGGTCTGTTGAGCCAGTCGGCAACACGGGGGTCTGGGAAGCTGCTCAAGTTCGAGAAGCAACAGTGACGGGCATGAGCTGCGCATTGCAGAGCGCTGATGTCTCAGGTTGGCTGGTAAGTGTATGACTGCCTCGACCAAGTCAGGGAGAGAGAATAATGCCTCGAAGCATACAGTCAGAAGCACTTGAACATAACAATGGCCGAACGTGGGTAATGATGAACAAGACCATGACGCCACAATGGCCTTCTCTCAGCTTGAGGCTGGCCCATCCCAGGGCTAACTATGTACACGTACATTACCACAGTAGCTTACATTTGCTGAATGCATGCATTGAATCCCAGATAGCCGATCAGCAAGAGGCGGAGGCCAAGAATCGCTTGCGCCAGGCAGGACGACAGGCCAATTACGTAGCTCCGAAGTAGTATGTTCCAGCAGCAGAGTTTGCAAAGGCGGTGACCGTTATTCCGCGCTGGGACTCCCGTCTGTCTCAACTTCGAGATGCAGAGGGAAGGTGCTGGATGTACTGCTGCCAGCTGATATCTCTCTATCTCTCTCTAGTGACTCACGCCGGTTCGTCTCTGAAGCTTCACATGTCGGACAACAGCAGACATCAAGGTCACAAGACTGGACTGGACTTGTGAGGCCGAGCTAGTATCAGGATTCATCAGTGATTCACTGGCCACTGCAAGCGCGCATTCAACAGAGAAGCCGAAGGAGAAAAAAAAAAGATTTGCTGTGGTTGCTGTGGTTGGGCTGGGAAGCAACGGCGCTAGCGAGGCCCAAGCATCGAAATGCGGGACACTGCAGGAAGTACCCATATATCGGGACAAAGGTACCAGGAGGGGCAGTCGCGGGGCAGGCGCTCGAGGTCGTCAGATTCAGATTTGGCTACAGCTCTGCAGGGACGAGAGCTTCAGCAAGAGCACAGAATGAGGCAATGATCACGTGTGGCAGTTACGTAGAAATGGATAGAAAGTAGTCAGATCAGATACTGTCATTGCCAATTATCATGAATACCATTGAGAGAGAAACGCCTGCTATTCAGAGTGATGCAATAACCTCGATTGCAAAAACAGAACAGACAATGCAATCACTCGACCGAGGTTTTTGGTGGATTGTGCTCAAAAAAATTCTCGTGCAGGCCGATAAGGTACCTCCTACTCAATATTGAGAGACTTCCGCCAAATCTCATTCCTGCCCTGCCTCCCTCAAGAAAAGGCGGCAAGCAGCGGCAAACCCTAAGAACAGCGCTAGCGTGCCCCGCCTTGCCCCTCCTCTCGCAGTTTTTGGCGGTTTTGCAGCAAGACTGCACCGAAGTGAAGTTTTTCGGGGCCCCACCAAGCAAATCGCCTCTCGGACAGCCCAGATAAAGTATTCGACCCCGCCCTTCCAACTCTCCTCCTCTTCCTCCTTGAAACCTCGTCGCTATACCTAGATTCTAAGCAGTCTTGTCTGGCAATCTGTTCGTCTCCCTCTTCCCTTCCTCCAACAACAGACAACCTCTTCTCTTGCAACGCATCTAACCACTCTTCATCACCAGAAACCTTTTTACAAACCTTCCACAGAAACCACTTCAATACCGTCACCATGGGGTAAGTTTCACACACACACATCCGCCGTCCATCATCGGTTTGATTTTTCAAACAGATGCTGCTCTCTCTCGCGCGATGGGCTTCATCGCCTTTTCCGCGCCAGAGCAGCAGCTGCTTTGATTCAATCACAAGATCATCCCGCTGACAACCTCTCGCAGTAAGGAGGAGAAGCCTCATCTGAACGTCGTCGTTATCGGCCACGTCGATTCCGGCAAGTCGACCACCACCGGTCACTTGATCTACCAGTGCGGTGGTATCGACAAGCGTACCATCGAGAAGTTCGAGAAGGCAAGTTCACCACCTAATTCCCACATCCTGCAAAATGATCAGAATCAGACACATCTGTCAACATCACCACATTTGAATGGCCGTCACATCACTTTTTTCCACCCCGCTGCTTCATTTTTTTGTGGCTGCTGCAGTGCGTCAGAAGCGACGGTGAGGGGCAGGTTTCTGCCAATCTGCCCCGCCCTGAACTTTTTACCCCGCCACAGAAATTTTAAACAGTCTGGCCCTCTAACCAATCACCTGCCTGCACACACACCATCTCTCACTTATCTCTGAATGAACGATTACCGCTAACACACCATCACAGGAAGCTGCTGAGCTCGGAAAGGGCTCCTTCAAGTATGCCTGGGTTCTGGACAAACTGAAGGCCGAGCGTGAGCGCGGTATCACCATCGATATCGCTCTCTGGAAGTTCGAGACCCCCAAGTACTATGTCACCGTCATCGGTATGTCTTCACCACTCCTCCTCTGCCACAAAATGACATCTGGGCTAACCATGGTGTCCCAACAGATGCCCCCGGTCATCGTGATTTCATCAAGAACATGATCACTGGTACTTCCCAGGCCGATTGCGCTATTCTCATCATCGCCGCCGGTACTGGTGAGTTCGAGGCTGGTATCTCCAAGGATGGCCAGACTCGTGAGCACGCTCTCCTTGCCTTCACCCTCGGTGTCAGGCAGCTCATCGTTGCCATCAACAAGATGGACACCGCCAAGTGGTCTGAGGATCGTTACCAGGAGATCATCAAGGAGACTTCCTCCTTCATCAAGAAGGTCGGCTACAACCCCAAGCAGGTCGCTTTCGTCCCCATCTCCGGCTTCAACGGCGACAACATGCTCCAGAAGTCCACCAACTGCCCCTGGTACAAGGGCTGGGAGAAGGAGACCAAGGGCGGCAAGGCCACTGGCTTCACCCTCCTCGAGGCCATTGACGCCGTCGACCCCCCCAAGCGTCCTACCGACAAGCCCCTCCGCCTTCCCCTCCAGGATGTCTACAAGATCGGCGGTATTGGAACAGTGCCCGTCGGCCGTATCGAGACTGGAAAGCTCATCCCCGGTATGGTCGTCACCTTCGCTCCCGCCAACGTCACCACTGAAGTCAAGTCCGTCGAGATGCACCACGAGCAGCTCAAGGAGGGTCTTCCCGGTGACAACGTCGGCTTCAACGTCAAGAACGTCTCCGTCAAGGAGATTCGTCGTGGCAACGTTGCCGGTGACTCCAAGAACGACCCCCCCATGGGTGCCGCTTCTTTCTCCGCCCAGGTCATTGTCCTGAACCACCCCGGTCAGGTCGGTGCCGGATACGCCCCCGTTCTCGACTGCCACACTGCCCACATTGCCTGCAAGTTCGCCGAGATCCAGGAGAAGATCGACCGCCGTACCGGCAAGTCGACCGAGTCCAACCCCAAGTTCATCAAGTCGGGTGACGCTGCCATCGTCAAGATGATTCCGTCCAAGCCCATGTGCGTTGAGTCCTTCAACGAGTACCCCCCTCTCGGTCGTTTCGCCGTCCGTGACATGCGTCAAACCGTCGCTGTCGGTGTCGTCAAGTCCGTCGAGAAGGCTCTCCCCACCTCCGGCAAGGTCACCAAGTCCGCTGCCAAGGCCGGTGCCAAGAAATAAGTTTGACTCGACAACTTGTCTCTTCCGCGGTCTGATGGTCATCGGATGATGGTTCCATTTTTTGGAGGATCACCAACAAACAACAAGTCGCATCAACATCCCCTGCGATTTTTTCCGACAACACGAATTCCCTTAACTTTACTCGAGTACTCATGGCAATCTGGTTTCGTGGGGCACAACTTTGAGAGGGAACAGGTCCGGGTTTTTCTGCTGCGAATCAAAACTTCTCATGTGTGCTTAGCAAAATAGAGTCCTCCTAGAAAGTGATTCCCCCAACTCTCAAGTTCCTCCTGATGCATCGTGATGTGACTGTTCGCCTGTGACGTGAAGCCATCGCAACTTTTGACTTTCATTACCCTTCCCAATCCCCCTGTCATTCGGCTTTGCTACCAGACGAGGCCAACATCATGTGCGGTGCCTTCTCCTGTGGTCTAGTGTTGCATGCCCCCTGTTCAAGTTCGACATGATGTGTGATCTTCGATGTGGGTGCTCGCCCATGACATGAAGCCATCACCATCTCAGTGGAAAGTTTGCGCCGCCTCGGTTGTTCTTGCTCCTCGAGATTCTACCTGCTGCAAATGAAGCCACCAACGATCACAACCTTTCCTTCCCTTGTACGTCTTTTGCTCTGATTCCCTGTGGCACTCTTGTATTCCAACCTTCAGCTTGTCATGTCTCTGGTCCTAGTGTGACATCTTTCGATGTTCTTGCCTGCTGCCTTCATTCCGCAGAGGGGGTGGGGGTGTGCCATGTCCCAGTCTGGCGGTATCATCAACACGTACTCGGTCGTCTTGCGGCTCAACTGATCGTTGTCTCGGAAGGTCGGGCGTTACACTTCTCACTGCCAGATCTGCCCGACTGATAAGGGTACGATCCGTGCCTCTTCTCGGTTCTCTTCCCGAGAACGCTATTCACCCTTTTTCCATACAATTGCCAGGCTTGACGATCCGGGACTTGTCCTTGGTCTGATACTTTGCCCACCGTTTCTTTTTCGCTGCGCTGTCCATTCCTACTTGGCTATCCCTGCCGCTGCAAATAAATCATGAAGCTCATTGTCCAACCCCCCTGTCTGTCTGTTGTTCACTACACTCCATGACATCTTTCCGTCTTCAACGGCATGCCTGCCTCCTCTCCTCCTTGTTGCAAGCCTCTTGTCCTTGCCCAACACTCACCGACCACCCACGTCTTGTCTTCTCCACCATCCCAACTTCAAGCCCTACATGACTCGGCAGGAGGATCATCAACCGAAGCCCTGATAGCGGACACAAAGCCCACACCGGACAGCTCCAGAAAGCAGAACGGGGATGTAGCTCATCTGGTAGAGCGCGTGCTTAGCATCTTACTCCTGACTCACTCGCTCACTTGGAGGGATGATGGGGACACCACAATGTTCATGCACGAGGTACTGGGTTCGACTCCCAGCTTCTCCATCTCTTCTTACGTCCAACCACTTTACCTTAGTTATCACTTTTGCTGGGTGGCGAGGCTGGTGATAACATTTTTGCTTGTGGGATGGTGATGTGAGAATAGGATAGGTACACATCAAACAGGATGAAGTTGCTGTGTACCATGTCCCTCGGCGGCCTCAGATCACTGACTGCCAGGGCAAGCAAGTTGGGATTGGGACCGATTTGCTATTGTCTCTGAGGTCTGACAGTAGGTAGTAGGTATGTAACTCAGAGAGGTCGCATGACTCAACTGGAGGCAGGCAATCCGGACAAGAGTGTCATCTACTGATGCATCAAATAACCGAGTAATGTACACTACATACACCCATCACCCATCCAAGATTTATCTTCACATCCCACTATTATCTTACACAATCGCACAGAGCATCACACCTCCTCACCACCAGTCCTGCCCTCCCCAGTGCTATCCAACCCCTCCCCATCACGACCCACTCGTTCCGGCATCTCGCCGTACCAAGCGAACTCCCTCCCCAGCGCCAGCCGGGACAAGGTCTCGACGTACTCCTGGACTCTAGTCTTCTTCTCCTCCTCCACTGCTTCCGACTTCTCCCCTCTCTCCACTATCTCTGACTTCTCTCCTTCCTCCACCGTCTCCGACTTCCCCTCGACCTTTGACTTCTCCTCCACTTCTGGATTCTCCCCCTCCAACCTCGCCTCACCCGGCGCCTCTCCCGACGCCTTCTCCGCGGCATTCACCCTCGTAGATGGGTTCAAGTACCCCCGCTCGAACTTCTCAAACTCCGAAAGCGGCAAGCCGTGCTCGTCCTGCACCTCGTCGTTATCGGTCCGTAACCCCTCGAGCGCCAGTTCCGCGCGCCGGCCGCCGCCCTGGCCCGCTTCTATCGAGGTGTAGCTGAGTTTCCACCCTGATAGGGAGGTGGATACCTTGCGGTGGAGCTCTAGGCCGGCGAAGATGTAGCTGACTTGTGGGGAGTCGGTTTCAGGCGAGGTAGTAGATGATGTGGAGGAGGTTTGTGTGGGCGTTGCGGAGGAGGAGAGGATGCGGGAGGGGAGGTGAAGAGGTGGTGGTGTGGCCGGCGTGGAGAGAACGCCTTCGCTTGGGCGTAGGTCGGAGGATGAGAGGAAGATCACTATTTCCGGGCACGAGTCGGGAATTGCTGAACCGGGGAGGATGTGCGACATTGTCTCCGACAGCCGGATGTCGACCGGATGGCTGGGGAGGAGGATGTCGTGCGTCGTGACGCGGGAGACGGCGCGCAGGGAGTGAGGCGTGATGTTATCCGTGTCCGGGTCCATGAGAAGCGTTAGCTCCAGGGATGGGAGGGTTGGATTGCCCGGCGCGGGGATGAAGCGCATGAGGATCGATATTTGGGTGGTGGTTGATTTGCTGCTGGCTGTGAGAGCGGCGAGAGACTTGAGAGGCGGGACAATGGGGGTTATAGTCCGGTCGAGCCTCCAGTCCAGTTGGTCGTGGATGCCGTTGTTGCGGTTGTGGTGGGGATGGCCAACCGGAGTGGCTTCTTGCTTGAGTCTCCCATTGTCCTTCAGGACGTCTCGCGAGAAGGCGTCTTCCACGTCCGGCTCTTTGGGCTCCCGGTGCAGCACGTGCCCGAAGACGGCCTTTGACCTGACTTGCGGCTCGGAGGACCAGCCGTCGGGCGCAAAGGTGACGGACGTCGACGTGTCGAGGCTGCCGAGCAGGACGTCGTTGCTTAGGGTATGGATGGGGTCTGCTGGCTTGACACCGCGACGAGGTGTGGCGATTGTCCATCGCGCCCACTTGACAAGCCGGTCTTTCCAGGCCATTTTGGGTTTGCTGTGGTAGTCCTGGAGATACCAGCCGCCGACCTCGTACAAATCTGGTTGCACCTCCACTGTGGAGTCGCCAGGTTGTTTGTAGCCGTAGGCCGAGTACAGGAGACGAAAGGTGACGTCTCCCACATCCTCGAGACCCTCGTGCTTGGTTTCTGAGGACGGGATCCACGAGACCTCAACGTTCTTCCCCGCCTTGTCGTAGCGGATGACCGTGTGCGTGAACTGGCCCACGAAGTCGAGGACGGACTGGTCGAGTCGTTTCGGGCTGATTTCCGCCGCGGGCATGGACCGGGTGTGCGCTTTCTCGAGGAGTGTGTTGATCTCCTGCAGTATGAGCTCGGCCGTCGCTTTCGGGCCGACGATGCGCACGATCTTCTGCGATCGGATCAGCTCGATCTGCGTGCCGGGTTCGAAGAGGGATTTGGATATCGACTCGAGCCAGCGGCGGTTTCCGACTGTTCGGATGTAGGTTAGTGACAACACAGCGTGATCCAGGGGGTGAGGGGTTACATACGCATCAGCAGGTCGAACTGCAGGTCTTGCACCCGGACGTCCAAGTAGCCCTGCTGGCTCTGGATCTCCCGTATCCCCAAGCCCCAGCACTGTCGCATCAGGCTAACGACCAGCCTCTCCTTCGGGCTCGTGGACTTCTTGACGTAGCCCTGGAGCAGAGCATCGGTCGTCTCAAACTCGGACTTGAGCTCGGGCGCCCACGGCCACATCTCCAAGACCCAAGGCCTCAGATCGAGCAGTGTCCCGTCCCGATCCTTCTCCACCAGCGACGTCTTGTGGATGTACGTCGCCAGTTGCGTCTTCGTGAACCCCTTGTAGAGCGTCTTCTTGAGCGCTTCGAACTCGCGCTGCGTCAGGACGGTCTCGCTCGGCTTCAGCTCGTGGATGTTGTGCAGCACCTCGGCGGAGCTAGGGACGTCGACCTGGGTGGACTCGTAGATCTTGACGAGGTTCATGGCGGAATCGGAGTCGGCCGGTTCGTCCTCGGGCATCTGTTCGAGCTGACGCCTGGGCTTCTTGCCGGCGTCTCGCATCACCAGCGCGTGGCCCGGCTGGCCGAGGATGTCGATGGGCAGTTCCCGGTTCGTGGGCTTCAGCCGCTGGCCCTTTGCGCTGTAGAACTCAGGTCCGACGTGTAGTGTTTTGTGGGAGGGCTGTCGTTTCCGAGCTTTCCCGTTGTCGTGCACTCGTATCTGTCTGTAGGCTGAGGGCTCCCCAACTTCATCTTTGCTCTGCCGAGCATCTCGAGTCTCCTCAACAGTCTCATATCGTATACTGCCAGTCCATCCGCCCTTGTGACCGGCATCTTCGTGTTCTCCAGCGTCTGTTTCCCTTGGATGTTGCTCGGCTACGCTTCGCGCATCCTCTGGCCGCTGTGAGTTTCTGTTGGGATCTATAACTTGCTTGTCCAATTCTCGCCATAGATCCGCATCTTCGCGGGGTCCATCATCTTCTATCGGTAGCCGACCAGTCCAGACTGGCTTCTCTGCAGATTCGGAGTAGTTACGGCTGGGCGCATAGCGGAGGGCGACGTTCGCATTCGAGGAGGTTCGTAGAAGTATGGGTCGTGTCCTAGGACGGCTGGCGAGCGAGAGTCGACATCTTAAGCATACAAAGCCGCCGGGAATCCGTCGTGAGAGCATCGAAAAGGGACAAAGGAAGGGAAAAGGTCTTGCTGTCAAGACCTCACCGACAACATCAGGGGCGCGCGCATCAGAGAAGCTTCACAATACCAATCTCTGGAAATTTCATGGCAAATCTCTTATCGATAAGACACCCTTGTCAAGACGGAGCTTTAAGTGGTTGGGTCAGCAGATAAGGTACGTATCTCGACGCGTCTGAGCCATGGAAGGCGCGTTAAGTTCCGGACATGAGTTCAGAGGTTGCGCCTGCCATTCATCGTCAAGAGCTCGACAACACTGTACCTTAAGAGGGACAATTTTTTTTTTCTTTCGAGAGCAAGTCCCTGACTACGTTTTCTCTTCTTCCCTGCGAACGACTCCTTCTCCCACTCGCACCGACATACCTTACCGTCACTTCATCCTCACTTCCCACATTGTTCGTTCCATATATCAGGCCGACGAGTGATCAACCGTCACACCGTGCAACCATAATTATGGCGCCTGGAAGACGGAGACGGGATGCGGTGAGAAATGCGATGGCCGCCGAATACAGAACTCTGGACTGACATGGTCTGTGCCCCTCCAGGACGACGACGACGCAGAAGACGAGCAGCCGCAGAACCGCCGTAAGAGTGGAATGGGACGGCGCCGGCAGGAGTCAGACAACGAGTCCGGTGAGGACAGCGACGCCGGTGACCGCACCCAGAATCGTAGTGCCAACACCGAGCTGCGGCTCGCCCACAAGCTTGTCCGCTATGCCATTGCCTGCGAGCATTCGAGGACGCCGATGAGGAGGGAGGCTGTGAGAGAGAAAGGTGGGATGCCCTTCTTGTCCAATGGTACGACATGATGGTTACTGACACTCGTTTGCTCCTGCAGTCTACGCCGGAGATTCGATGCGCAACTTCAGAAACGTCTTCGAGCTCGCGCAGATACAGCTACGGACGGTATTCGGCATGCAGCTGGCCGAGCAGCCCAGCAAGGACAGGTCGCTCCTGTCGCTTGACCAGAAGAGGAGGGGTACGTCACGAGTCACCATCCCACAACCATCTTCTCTCCATCACGTCAGCTAACCCTTTCGTCCTTCACAGCCGCCAAATCCCAAAAGTCCACCGGACCAGCCACAAAAGCCAGCACAAACACCTGGATCCTCACCACCATCCTCCCCGCCCCCTTTCGCACCCCCGCCATAATCGCGCCGAGCAAAGTCCACTCCTCCGAAGGCGAAGCCTCCTACACGGGCCTCTACACCCTGCTGATAGCCCTCATCACCCTCTCGGGCGGGGAGATGCGCGACGCCAAGTTCCACCAGTACCTGGGCCGCTTGAACGTCGAGACTACCGTGCCGAGCAACAATCCTAATAACCGGCATCAGCCGTCCGAGGCGACCGAGGTGGCGCTGCAGCGGATGATTAGGCAAGGGTACCTCGTGAAACAGGTCGGCGGCGAGGACAACGAGGACGCGAATTGGTACGTCGGACCTAGGGGAAAGGTGGAAGTGGACAATGAAGCTATTGCTGCCGTGGTGAGGAGGGTGTATGGAGACGCTGG